TGTCCCTGTGAGTTTGTGATAAGAACTATTTGTCATAACTTAATTGGTGGTTTAGGGCATTGAGGTTGGATCCAGGTAGTATGAAGGGCGAGAAGCAGAATTCTTGGATTCCCAAGTCGGTAAGAAATCCCCCTGTACAAAGAATAGGGGCAAGATTATGGCCTGGCGCTTGTAGGCCTGGCTCCCCGCCCTCAGGTAAAGACAGACAAGTAGTTGCACATGCCCAGGTGGGTGTTTGGAGGTTTGGTGCTCAAACCTCCAAACACCACCTGGGCATGTGCAAACTACTTGTCTGTCAGTGGCTGTTGTCAGTGGCTGCTGAAGCAGAAGATTGTAAGCACTGGGAAAGCCGCTGCCTTCTTGATGCAGTGGATCCAGTTTCCCAATGCTAGGCCAGGGACTGCTGCTGTAATCAATACCATGGTGGTCTTTCCCCTCCAAGAAACGGTGTGTGGTGTCTTGTGTATACATGAGGTCAAAAGGGTTAACAAAAGGGCAGGGCTACTCTCCAATAAGCCAGCAAGTGGAAGTATGATCGTATTTCAGTTGTGCTCTCTCTAGTCAGAAAGAGACAGAATGTTTTAGAAAGGTTAAAGGATGGAAGGATGATGCAGCAGCTTGAGCCAGGTCATCTGGTAATTCAGCCTGTCTGTGCACTCTGGTGAACTTTTGCCTCTGTGTCACACTGAGAATAGCCAGTTTTCACTGCCTGTTGGCTGCTTAGTTTGGTCCTTGTTACTGAGGCGTAATTCATACTGCTATTTTGCATTTTAACAGCCCAAAGATATGGGAAAAAAATCCACCTCTGGGATATCTGTGCTTTAGTATTAAATACAATATATGTTGTATGCATATTAATGACAGAAAATATTGGCCTAGGTACAAAAGTAAACACGGATGTATTTATATGTAAACAAAGTATAACAGGTTTCTGGAATCATAGCATATAGACATATGCCTTATAAAACAAGAACACTAATAATAATAGACTCTGCTGTAAAACACAGTATTGATCTCCTTTTTTATTATTTATGTCTGTTTTTGGAAGGGATAGATGTCTTCCTAAGAGTCACAAAGTCTACTTCAAACCTATGCTGCTGCAATTCTCATAGTCTCTCACTGTTGACTGCGTAATCCAGTATAGATGGGTGTAACAGCCCAACCACATTTAGAGGGGCCTCACGAGGCCCAGTCTTCTGTCTGAAGATAATCACTTCATTTTTAAGACAGTTACTACCATGTACAGTGGTGCCTTGCATTACGACGTTAATTCGTTCCAGCAAAATCGCTATAGAACAAAAAAGTAATGTGAAAATAAAAAACCCATTGAAATGCATTAAAACCCATTTAATGTGTTCCAATGGGCTAAAAACCTCACCATCCAGCAAAGACCCTCCATAGCACGGCCATTTTCAGTGGCTGCCTTGTGAGGAATTTGTCCCAGAAAACAGTGGGGAGCCATTTTATTTACCCGGTGGCCATTTTGAAACCGCCGACCAGCTGTAGGAAAAGTGTTGTTTTGCGAAGAATTTGTTCCCTGATCATTGCAAAGTGAAAAAAGCCTATTCAGACCATCGTTTTGCGATCGCAAAAATGTCCTCGTAATGCGGTTTTGTCGTAATGCAGGGCAATCATAAAGCGAGGCACAACTGTAATGCTGACAACAACAAAAAGCATTTTTGTTTCTTAACAAAAGTTACTTCTGTTCTTTATTGAGAAAATTGTGCAATCACTTCGGCAGTCCAGATTTATTAAATGATCTATTCTAATTCCATAAATGGTTAAGTCATTTTATTAATCAAGAACTGCTGCATAGCTCAGTGGTTTGGGTAGAGGTTGGAAGTTTGATTCCCCACTGTCCCTCTTTGAGAGATCCTGGATTTGAAAATCCATAGGACCTCTTCCAGCTTTGCAGTTTTAAGGTTATGATTGTTATTTTTATTATTAAAACATATGAAAGACATGGAGAAGAGATGCATAAACCGTGATTCAGGAGCTGTTTCTGTTTTGACTCTGAGCCACATTTTGTATGGTGTTCTCTGTGTTACATTTTTCCTTGATACAACAAAGTACCATAACTTTTAGCTGTAAAGTGATATTGGATATTAAAATAACCTATGACATTAAAGCATTTCTTAAATAGAAAAAAGTGTCCTTTGCATTTCTAAGTAAGGTGCTAACCTGGTATGGCATTTGTGCTGGAATCATATGTAGTTAACTGAGACGGTAATATGCACCCATCCTGTTATGTTTTCTGAATGAATTACTGGTTTGGGTGTGCTTCTTTATTTGTGAATTGAAAGCAGTGATTCATGCAGAGGTGCAATAGGCAGACCTCTGTTATAGTAAGAATTCTGCTGCATTTCTGCTTTAGGGATGATTTGGTGATGTAATCATCCTCAATGCAGCAGAAATTACTCACTGCCTATGATACCTGAGCACTGAGTCATGCAGAGTCTCAGCAGGCAACATGGTTTGTGGGTGGATACTTTGCAGCTCCAAAAAGCTTTTAACTGTTCCATTGTTTCTTTGGACACATTACCATTCCACACCTTCCCATTTCAAAATAAATGTTATGTTAATGTAGTGGTTGCTCTAATAGGGCTCTATAGTTAAAATCTAATTGAAATCTGACCTTACACTGTTTTGATGATGATCATTTGCATGCTAAGCTCACATGGAACACATGTGAGCTATGCTGCCTTTACTTACTGAGATAGGAACAGATCAGTGACCACCAATTACTGTACCTAGGTGGAAATAAAACCGTTCTAAATTGAGGCTTCATGGAATTTAGTCCTGCTTGACTTTCATATTTTGGGAGTATAATACTAAAGCTTAAAAATTCATTACCAGTAATATTTTTAAAAACTGGGTGCTTTGTTCTTATTTATTACCCTGTCTGTTTACCAGTAAGACAAGCAGCTTGCAGTTTGTGCAAAGGGTAGAGTAAATGCTTGTGTTGCACATGAGGACTCATGTTTAGGCAATGGAACTACCTTCCCTGTTATCTGCTTCCTAACCTTCTCTGACAGATGGCGGACACACAGGAGTCAGTAATGGGGGAGGGGAGTATTCATTCCATTAGTAGGAAGGCACTGTTCTACTTCACACATAAAGTTCTACCAAACCTGTGAAAAAGCTAAAACAACTAATTAAGATGCGATTTTAAAGTAGCAGCAATAAAATTCCTGGAAAAGTCTGCTTAAACAAAGGCAAAGAAATAAATGTGTATTCCATTGCCCATTTGTTAGTTTTTGCTTTGTTGAAGCATTATTAAGTTGTAAACAAATTTGCAGGCATTAATAACTAATTTTTTTAAAAAAAAACTACAGTATCAATGTTTTGTAGATGAGTTGGTCCATCTTTTGAATTTATCTCTAACATTTTAGTTTGCCTTTCAAAATACTTTATTGTACACCTGCAGGACATGAACTCACCTTTTAAGAAAATCTGAAATCTTCTTTATATTTTTCTTGCCTTCCTAGTTTGCTGCTTTGTGGTCCACAAGAGGTGCCATGAATTTGTTACCTTTTCATGTCCTGGAGCTGACAAGGGACCTGACACTGATGTGAGTACACTGGACTTTGACATGTGTTCTGTTTTTATGCTTTGCTTTTTTGAAAAGGATGATAGATGTTGACAGAACAGAAGATGCTTAATATGTTCTTCTTGTGTTTATTTATTGTTTCGTTAGTCTCATGGCATTTGTTGGATGACAGTAGACAAGCTACAGCATCTAAGCAAATGACAGAAAAATAAGATGAAGCAGAAACACAAAACACACAGAAAGAAAGTTGAAAGAAGCAGAATTTATGCTCTTAAAAGTTACTTTCGTAAAATATTAAAAGCAAATGAGAGCCGTCAATGACATCAGGCTTCTTGCCTTCTAATGTGGTAACTGGTGATATGTTCTTATACTAGGATTCCAGTGTAAAAAGATGAATCTTTCCCTTGATTGTTTGCCTAGGAAGGCAAGGAAATAACTTTAAATCTGCCAGAGGCTGCCGGGTAGGTGGGGCTCGTCAGCCATGGAAGGCAGCCCATCTAGGAGAAGGAAAACTCCGATTTCAAACCTCCACTGCCTTGTGGCTATATCCACTCATGGAAAAGGCTTCAGGAGTTAACCTCGAGGCAAAATCCGGAGCTGGAGTCCCGAAGGCAGCATGTGTCGTTCTGCCAACTCCTGCGACATTGCTGGAACCAGTTGTATTGGCTCTTGCCTTTCCATTGGACCATTTCAGCAATGTGGAGAGGGGGGATCTGCTGCTTGGGTAACAGCCTATCCTCCATATTACCTTACCCGGGCTTCATGCTCTGGAGAGGACACTCCTCGATTCAGAGCATGTTATCATAGTCTCTCGAGACAGAAGGATGCCTATGCTTGTTGCCTGTAATTCTAGAATGCAGGATCACTTAACCAAATGATCGGTAGCTTTTGAGATAGCACATAATTAGTGTAAATGAATGTGCTTATCTGTGGCTAACAGCTTTGTATATTTAGTTCTACCAAATAGTCATGTCAGGTGAGGGTGCGTTTCCCAAGTTTCTGTTTACAAGCAGCTAACTCTTAATATTAGATAACTGGGGTCAAGAACAGTGGTGGCCTCATCCTGCGAGGGAAAGGATGCTCAACTAAATTAATACTTGGTTTGATTCTCTAGTTGTTTAGAATTTGGCTTGGGTTAGATCCAGACTTAGTCATGTTTTGAGGACAGCCTGCAGAAATAAATTAGGTCTACTCTAAAGATTACTAAGTTTGGAAAATGATAGAGACTAATTATTGAAATCAGTGGTATTTAAGGTAGCCAGGGTTAACGTCCAGCTTATTTCATTGGATTTGATCTAAGCATGACTAAGGTGGGATCTAGTCTGTTTGGCTGACCGTCAAAAGTGATAGAGGAATATTATTTTGTATTTTAAAGATGTTTTACAGAATTTTGTTTCCAGAATAGCTCCAAGTAGCCGAGGCTGAGCTCATGTCAGCAGCAATTAAGAACCAAATTGATATTGAGGAAAAGAAGCATTTTTACTCCTCTGCCTATATTAAACCTTTTTTTTAAAAAAAATATAAATGTAAAATGAAAATACTACTGTATTAAAGTTACTGGACAGTGGAAGTGACTTGACAGCACATAACAAAAATTTTTCATGTGCAGCCTTGCATTTTGTGCACAATACAGGTTTTTATGCAAAAAAATAGCCCCGTGACTTTTTTTTTCAAATGAGTTCCAAAATGCTAAAAAGAAAAACAAGCAAAAAAACACACCTTCTGCTATTCCCAACCAGCAGGGAAAGAAGTGATCAGATTTTTCATTCTTATCCAGAAGAATGAAATGAACAAAGATTTACACCCCTGCATATAAAAACAGGAAGTTATCTTGCACCACGTGGTCCATCTGTTTACTGTACATTCTACTGCAATACACTGATTAGCTCCAGCTTTCGTTGCACTTCAGGCAGGAGTGCTTCCCAGTCTCATGTTGAGATATCACAAATTAAATCCAAGGCCTTTCTTACGCAAAGCTCATTATCTTTGAGCATGGACACCCCTAAATTATAGGCTGGAAATTTATTCTAATGCATGAATTCCCAAAGGCGGCTGACCATCCTGCAACCTCAGCCTCATACTGTTCCCACAAATAGAAATGTTGAAATGGATGCTCTGATTTTCCAAGAGTGTGCCTTAAAAGCAAAGTGTGAAACCAGTAAAGGGCATAAGAAAGCAGTTTATCCAAAGTGTTTCTTTTGCGGGCTTAGGTGAGAGTTGGAAGTGTCGTAGTTAATACCTCCATTGGGAATGCATGTATAATGCTGCAGACGATATTCAGAAATGCCTGGCCCTTTAACTTAGCAGTCTCTCTTTCCTGTCTTATCCCAGCCATCTCAAACATTTCCAAAGCAAGTAGTGAAAGTTGGCAGGGTGAAGTTCATTATTCTCAGTGTACAGCAACAGTAATTCATCATACTGTACTTGCATAATAGGGTACTTAAAACTATTTTCATTCTGCTTTGGAAATTTAGGAGGTACAGGAAAAGCAGCCTGATGTACCATGCTTACTGAAGATTTTAAAGCCCCACTGTACATATGTGAAGTTTATTTCTCTATATATTCTTGATTTTGGCTACAGAAACTATAAATCTATTTTTCGTGGTGATTGCTTCTCAAAACTCATTTGTTTGCATTCATTAAAATTATATTTAATTGGACAGTGCCATAATAAATATATGTAAAATTAATGACACTACTTTGTTTTTTACCCTTCTGTTCCAAATGGTTTTGTTCCAGAGCAGAAGTAATGATAATCTTAGATGCATTTGTAAAAGTTGCAGTGGCATAAAGGAGGAGATTGGGAAAAATAATAATTTTAATTTATGCTGTCATTACTAGAGTGGCCTTAGTTTCCTCAGTAATTAATTAATGTAGTGCTTGACTTACAAATTGGGGTCAACTGGCGAGTTCCCATTGAAGAGATCCTATGTGCTGTATTATGCTTTCCTTGGAAAATATATTGTAAGAGAAGTATTAAAGCTGGTAACTTAAGTCCACTTAAAAAAATTATGTACAAAGATCAGGAAGAATTATGTTTTTCAAAATTGGACAGATATTTCTCTTTCCCTTCCCTCCAGTACTGTACTTGTCTTTCCAAATATATACAGTATATGTAAAAAATATGGTTTCCTGGATTAATGGTTGGGATCTCATTACCTGATGCAGCATCTCTCTGTAAGATTGTCTATGCTGTAAGATTGTCCACCCAGGCAGGTTTTCCATTTGTGCATGATTAGCACTAGAGGGGCTTAGAAAACTACACCTGAGAATCAGGCCTTCTTGGTGATGGCTGCAACGCTATGGAATGCATTACTCATGGATATTTGCCAGGCTCCCTCCCTTCTGACCTTTAGGAAATGGGTAAAAACTATATTTCCACTTTGTCATCCTCATGGACCCATGAATTGGATATTGATTTTGATTGGGTATCTAGATTTATCTGCTATTCTGGATAATTAATGTTTTGGTCTGGATCTCATTATTTATGTCTTTATGAGTTGGGATAGTTAGTTTTGTTTTTAACTGCTGTTAGCCACCCAGAGTAATGTGCTTAGGCACTAGATGGGCCAGGTACAAATGTAATGAATAAAATCAAATAAATAAACAAACAAACTATGTTGTTCTCTTTTTGATTGCTTCATATTATGCAGCAAGACTGATACTTTCTTAGTGTCCAATTTTGTCAGATTTAAATTAATACATTTACCACTGCATAACATGATTGTGACTATGATTCAATGCCCTAAATCCTGTTGCTTAGCATAATAAATTGCAACTAGATTAGGTCAATTGAATCAGTGGAACTTATGGAGGAGTTGATGAACTAACCCTTCACTGATTCAGTGTGCGTACTCTAATTGTGGTTCACTTCACGAAGCAGCAGGGTTTCAGTCTTTATATCATCGTCTATAGAGGTGGCTTGCCGTATTGTCTCTCTGGGGCTGGAATTCTGTCTCTTGTAGAATAACTAACAATGAAGACTGATACATTTTATCTCTACCAATAACCACACGGTTGGCACTTGAAATGCAGAATTGTGTATAGTGATGAGGAATTGAACAAAGTTTTCAGAAATTGATATTTCTCATTGCTAATATTTTGTTCCCTTTCTAGAAAAGTTTTGTTACAGAACGAATGAATATGTCACATATCAGTTTAGGCAATCAAGACTGATAAAATACCAGTCAAGTGTTAAATAATAAACATTTTGTTTCGGTAATTGCCCTTGTGAATCCCATATATTTATTTATACAGAGTACTTTCTAGACATACTAAATTAATATATTTATGTCAAACTTAGGCCATAAGTAGTGGTCTGGAGGAGTCAGAGATCAAGAACAGGCAACTACAGCTCAAAAACAGTCAGGATCACAAGGGAAGTCAAATGTCCGGGTCAGGAAATAAACCATGAGTCAGGATTGAGAGCAAGACCGTGGATGAAAAACACAGTAGACCTTTGGGAGACCCTGTTGCTCAAGCAAAATTTAAAAGCAAAAGTACTTTATTATCCTTCTTGCCAAAAAGAGCCAATAGCTACCCTAGGTGAGTGGAACCATGCCAGATTCAATAAGATCTTCCAGAAGAAGTTGCAGCTTTATGGATTACCACATGCAACATCAATGTTTTTGATTTTCAGTGTTTAGTGCTGTTTCTTAAAATTAAAACATAATGGAAAGTATGTGTTATTGAGTTGTCGTGTTTTCCTGTGTTGCATTTATTCCAACAAAAATAAATAATAGAATGAATTTGGCCATCATTAGATGTCACAGTGAACTGTGGTTTACCAGATTTATTTAATTTATGTATTTTCAATAATTTATAGGCCACCTTTCTCCCCCCGAGGGGACCCAAGATGGCTCACAGTGGGAATTATACTGATAGGAATTAACATAAGCAAGTCTCAGGCTCACACACTTCTCCCATTATTGAGGTAACCATAATGGGGTTCAGGGTTCTTTTTTCCATTTTTGACTACTGTCAGCATATTGGGCTGCCTGAACCTTAACCAATGAGGTTGA